TGGCTTGTTCTCTGATGAAGCCCCATGCAGCTCTTCTGCATGCATTTGCAAAAAAGAGAGACAGTATTGAGCTTAAAAAACATCAAGGACTTTTGAGTGAATGAGCTTTCAAGTGAATGATTACAGGATTGATTCTGGGCCGTGCTGCAGCTGAGTGGTTTTGAATATTGCATAGTGTTATTCTTTTGATGGTGTCCAAAGCCACATTCACAGGGAAGGTTGTACTATATTCACTGGTTATTCATTGTGTTTGTTATGAACAGAGACCATACTGAACTCCTAGGGGTTTAAGGGTCGTAGATATGAGGCAGGTGTGGAAGGAGGGGTTGACTGAGTTGATTGAGAACAAGAGAACTTTTTTCTATGAACTGTTATGCATATTATACTATACCTTAAAATATAAACAGTACAAAAGTATCAAGTTCTTTATGCAATATTTACACTATCCTGCTTAGATGAATAACCATGCATGGTGCCTTCTGTTGCTACTCTTTATTTACAGAAGGTTAATGAAAATGAATGCTGATTCTGTCTGGTTGAAAAACCTCTCAAACTCTACTGAAACTATTTAGCAACTCAGTCATTCTGAGCGAAGCTGTATCTCTATAACGATAACAGGTAGAAATATCAACGTACACATACACTCCCACTAACTGTTTGGCTTTCATCAGTTAAAGAATGTATATATTGCTGACAGTACTTTGGGTAATACATGGTTAATTTCTTTCTCGGAGGGCATTTACAGTACAGGCCAAAATTCAAAGCCAAAATTCAGGCACTCTGTTGGGCTTTGGACAGTGAAATAAGTTGCGCCAGCATTAATTATACCAAGAGAACCAATAAATGTGTGCCTTGTGATAGTTACAGCCGGCTTGCTGTCTAAAGCCAGGCTCCACTGCTAATGAAGGAGCGGCTCTATCTCCGTTCGGCCTTTTGTGCTTTAAATTGTGAAGGTGCTTGATTAAACAACATGCCAGACAGCTAAGCTCTCACTGTGGCTTCACATTTGGCCAACTAATTACACACTTGCTGGCTATTTTAAGTCTGCGACTCGAGCTGGAATTAACTGCAACAGAATTGACTCATTCTGGCCCTTAGTTTCAAACTTTTTTTTCCCTGACTGGAGGCGGACGCAGAAAGGAATGCGCTCGGGTTACAACGGATAAAATCAGCCAAGGCTGATATTTGGTCAGGGGGAATTTGAGTGCTGGGCCAAAAAATAAAAATAAAGTTAATGTTACAGAAAGAATCAGAAGTGGCTACAGTCGCGTACTGTTTTGTCTCACAAATCTGTCTGGGAATTATTTCTGCATCAAAGCCTTGTTGTATTCCAGGATTCCTGGTATGATGATGAAAATGGATAATTAGTCCATTGTTGTTGCCGTTGCCGACACCTGCAATTGATTACATTTTTTTGCAGTTCACTCAATAGGCCAAAATATATATATTTATGAAAAACATGTCAAGTTTATTAAATATTTGGATATATTTCTGACATATATGTTAATATTAAGACTTATTTACATATGTGCACATATTTCAACATACTGACACATACAGTCAACACAAAACAAAATAAAACAAAATGTGGCAAACATTTTATATTTCATGTTTTATTTTTTCCAATATGTTAAATTCAGCAAATTAAAAAAATGCCATATTTCCGTTTGTTCCCTGTAGAGGAAGTTTTAACATACTCAGAAAATCAAAAAAGGTCATTTGACCAGGGTGCCCACACTTTTACATATGACTGTACGTTTTAGCTTTGCCCACATTGTTAATGTGTTAACACTGCATTGTTTTTCTCTTCTGCAATATAAACAAATAGAACAGAACAAGACAAAATTTGCTCGATGTTGCATGATTATTATCAAGCAAAATACATTGTAAAGCTACATTTTAAAATTGAACAAACTAGGAAGCAACATACCTGAAACAGAACGTAACTTGTTTCATGATCTGATCTCATGAGAATATAAAAATGACATGCATTTGCACATGCGTAGTTTATCTGATTGTGCTATCATGGGCAAATGTGGAGAAACATGTTCCCACAGTTTGTTAAACTAGAGCATGACAATGTGGTAGGATAGTAAACATGTAGTTATTGTTAATGGGCAAATGTTAATATACTTCTCACTGACCAATGCATTACATGTTCGTATGAATGATAAGAGCTATATATTTTAGTTTTGTTTTTTTTTTAATACAGAAATAGTAAAATGAGGCTGAACATCTAAAATAGTTACATACCATCCATCTCAGAGCTCTCACTCATCTGATGGGACAAAGTCAGCAGTGACGTTGCATGTGAAAAGGCCCACTACACTAATTTTAACTAATAATAAAGTAGTAAAATTATTTTTTTTTACAAAACTAATTGGTAATTCAAGCAATAAGACAAATTTTGCTGAAAATCACATTTTATGTAATATTCTAATTCAGTAATTCTGCTATAGGTGTTTACTTTTATGATTTTACTGTTTCTGATTGGAAAGTTAGCTAGCTTGTTAACTGCACTTAAAGGGAAGATGACCAGGGTGATGGGGAATATGTTTCTAGTGTAACTGTAGCTTAACACATGGTTAACCTTCTAAAGATGGACATTATAGTAAACATTTGCATTAGTATGTACATATTTTCCGTTATTTAACAGATGTTCTTATTCAGAACCATTTACAATGGCAGGCAAATGTAACATTAGACAAATATTCTAATTTACTGGCAATTAAAAAATCAACAATAGAAATATTGTATATTCCTCCTTGTTTTAAAAGTAAAACCTCTAGCCACTCTAGAAAATAATTAACATTAAATAATAACCCCAAAAAGCAGCCCCAACATGAAAGTTGCTTTTACAGCCCCAGTAATGACAATTGTTCCAATGGAGAAATCCCAGTTTGTAGAGCAAAGCCTCTGCTTGGTGGTCCGCTTTAGGGCTGAGGCCTGTAATCCGCATCATTTGAGTCGGGTGGCAGTGGGCTGCTTATCTCTGATCCCATACACTCCGTATCACTACGGAGTCCTTTCTGCTAAACAGGTGGTCAGCTCAATCTCTGGCTCTGTGTGACACAAGAGGCAGTGAAGAGTCCAGCGTGGGTTAAAGAGCAGGCTGACTGATCCCTATAGCCCGCTGCTTCGCACGTCCTCTCTGGTCCTGATGCCCCAGAGTTTCAGAGAATGGCCCGGAGACGACCACAGCGAGAGCTCTAAAACCCACATTGACCTGCTCTAGAGAAAAGGCATATCAGTACTGTGCTCAGGGTTTGTTGGTCTATAAGAAAGCACCATCTAAGATGAGATCTCTTTTAAAGCTCTTTCATATTGTATCGCAACTTTCAAGGCCTATGTCATTCAAATCTTCTGAGAAATGACCAGAGATCTTAGTCTCAGGGATCAATATACAAGTTCTCAGAACTCTCTGACTTTGGTCTTGTCCCATTCCTTGCAGAATTGAGACATTTACAAAAAAAACTACAATAGGAAACACAGTTTGCTAGCTTTAATATCTCCCAATATTAAGAAAAAATATATATATCTATATTTAACAAAAACTGAACTAAGAGCATTTTTCCATGTACCAGAATCTTTGGCACCAAGTTCAGCAAATTCTTTACTCCTCCAGGTAACGATAAAGTCACCAAGCCCCATTACATCACCAGTAAGTGCACCAGAATGTAAACTTGAATGGTACGTTGATGCGTTGACTGCTATCTTTTGAATCCTTACTTTGTAAATAGTTTCCTAAGGTGACGTAAGCTTCTGCTAGTGTCATTAACATCTATACTTGTCTCCAGAGAGCGAGTTGTTTTACACACATTTTCCCATTTGACTCTATTCATGAGTCTGTGGAAATGTAGATGTTTTGTGATTGTTCATGCAGAGAAGTGCAGTATATTGTTTCCTGTCAGCCAGTAAGTTAAGCTAATTAACAAGCAGTGTGGCTAATTAGCCAACTTAGTGACTTTAGAGTGGCATAAATTGACCAAAAATGCAAGTAAATCATTAATTGTGGTTATTATGATGGTTCTAGCTTTCTTTCAAGCAGGGTGGAAAATAAACTAGAACCATAAGTTTTCTTGGTTCTCTTTTGGGCTACTCACCACTGCTGCTGAAAAAAATTCTATTAGGAATCATGATGATGTAGTCAAGTAATGAAGTAGCTAGCTAGCGACAGCTGATCACCAGTGTATCCACATAATTCTTACTAATTTTCCAAGAATACCCTACAAAGATTGGGAAATTGATTAGCTAACATTTTAGCCAGCTAACATGTTAGTTAGCTGGCTGACCATTTCATGCAATAGCCTGGGGAGAGAGAGCTAGCTAGCATGCTAATATATGAATACCTACAACATACCAGAAGCTGTAAAATAACTACTGGCTGAGTGTATAAATGTGTAAAATGACTTTTGTAAACTCTCCTTACAAAAAAACACATATAACTCTCTTTCAGACATGTCAGATATTAAAGTTTTCAGCTCTAACGTCTAACATTTTGCTATCTTGAAGCTTGTTTTTGCTCTGCACTGGATGGTTGTCTTACCATTCTCTGCTGTAAAAAAAAAACAACAAAGACCAGCATGAATTCCCTGATAGCTGATTTGTGATGGTTTACGCTGCTTTGTTGCTGGTTTAGCTGGTCACCCAGCTTCCCAAACACAACATGGTGGTTTTCCTGGTGACCAGCATATTAACATCCATTGCTGCTGACCAGCATACCAGCATCCAAAACACAACATATACTGGTTTTGCTGGTGACCAGCCATGTTGGTCTATGCTGAGTCTTCTAGCAGGGTTAAGAACACATCATTTTAGCTTAGTAGGCATGATTTTTAAGGTATCTAAGAACACAGCTGTTTGCTGTTTGTCTTGTGAATGCCTATTTGATGGCTTAACATGTTGTGTGGATGGCTAGTTTTTGATGCTGTAAAATGCTATAAAGACAGATAACTGAGTATTGAGGCATTGCCTAAAATTGTGTGGCTCTTCTTTCACAGGCGTTTACAGGTAACTCCAACACAGAGAGTGTGGTGCGACACGACCTGCAGCACGCCATCGTGGCCCGGTACCTCCGCATCATCCCTCTGGACTGGAGTGAAGAGGGTCGGATAGGTCTCCGGATCGAAATCTATGGCTGTCCATACTGTGAGTACAGAGTGCTGAAGTACTCTAGACCTTCAGGAAGTTCATCACAGACTGTGAATACAAGCTGTAGTTTAAGACCATTTATTGTTAAAACTGCGTTAGAACCATCAGCAGAGCTTTATTTTACTGGATTATTTTATTTTTACCTAAAAATTTAATTCTGCTGGGGAGCCGCAACAGGGCAGTAAAAGAGTTATCGACCCCTGTTTTTCTAAGTAAAAATAAGTTAACACGTTCTGTACAGAGGACACACTTCTGCACATTTTAATGCAAATTAGTTTATTTGCTGAATTTACATATTGGGGAAAAAATAAAACATATATAATGTAGCCTGTGCAAAGGTTTTGGCACATTTTATATCCAATTATTAATGCCAATATGTTTAACTTACATAATAAATGGAAATTATGTGCTAAAATTTGCAGAAATATTTCATATTTTAGTTTGTGGATGATGTGTTAACTTATTTTGGTGTAGAAAATCAACAAAATATGCAATTTGAACAGGGGTGTTCAAACGTTTGCATACAACTGTACATTCTACTTGAAACCCTGTTATTTAAAAGAAAAGAAAAAAAAGCGAGAGAAATTCATTTTTCCATGATATAGGCCCTTAAATAATCCAGTCGTTGCAGCATTACACGCATTGCTTGTCATAAATGAACCAAACTATTCAGTAAGTATTCAATAAAAAATGAAACGGATCACATACTCTGTACTGAGTCTCCTTTTCCACTCAGTGTTTCTGAGCCACACTTCACTTATCTTCAGCATCCCTCGTGTCAAAGACATCTACTGTGACACCTAGGTGTCATCTGCTGAATAGAAGCAGCTATTTATGTTGCCTTGAAGTTTTGCATAATTCATAATTACATAAAGATTCATTTTCTGTCTGCATCAAAAAGCTGTTGCTTTCTCCAACCTGAAGTGTTGCATGTTTAAACAGAAGCAGTGAATATATATTTGCCATGACCTCCTCCATCTGATTCCATTTTTTTTTTTGAGAAAATATTATTTTATCATACACATTATACACTGACCGGCCACTTCATTAAGTGCATCTCCTTGTTTCTACCTGCATTGTCTATTTTGTCAGCTGCACTTACTATATAGGTGCACTTTGTAGTTCTACAATTACAGACTGTAGTCCATCTGTTTCCCTGCATACTTTGTTAGCCCCCTTTTACCCTGTTCTTCAGTGGTCAGGACACCCCACAGGACCACCACAGAGCAGGTATTATTTGGGTGGCGGATCATACTTAGCACTGCAGTGACACTGATGTGGTGGTGGTGGTGTGTTAGTGTGTGTTGCGCTGGTACGAGCGGATCAGACACAGCAGTGCTGCTGGAGTTTTTAAACACCTCAGTCATTGCTGGACTGAGAACAGTCCACCAACCAAAAACATCCAGCCAACAGAGTCCTGTCTGCAGCATCCTGTGACCACTGATGAAGGACTAGAGCATGACCAACACAAACTATGCAGCATCAGATGAGCTACTGTCTCTGACTTTACATCTACAAGGTGGACCAACAAGTATGAGTGTCTAATAGAGTGGACAGTGAGTGGACACAGTGTTTAAAAACTCCAGCAACACTGCTGTGTCTGATCCACTCGTACAAGCACAAGACACACTAACACACCACCACCACGTCAGTGTTACTGCAGTGCTGAGAATGATCCCAAATAATACCTGCTCTGTGGTGGTCCTGTGGGAGTCCTGACCATTGAAGAACAGGGTGAAATGGGGCTAACAAAGTATGCAGAGCAACGGATAAACTTAATAAAATGGCCAGTCTGTGTGTGTATGTGCACTGAATTGCAGAATCATTTAAAAAGTTTGCCGGAGCCACATTGCCCTTCATTTTTGATTTTAAATTAAATCCGCCTGCATGTTTATTACGGGAATAATGCCATTGGAACTGGATGAGGATGAAATTACATACATGAAGCATCAACACGCTCTGTGTTTTTTTGCAGATGGAGTGAAACCCTTGACAAATTCCTCACTCTCTTCTTATTAAGTGTTGCCAAATTGATCTTGATAACAAATTTCAATTAACACCCGCGCAGATTAGACTTGAAAGTGACATGCATGTTTCTCTAATTACAGTAATGTAATTATCCATTGCATATTTATTTTCACATTCCAGAGTGAAGGTTCTGATTTGCCCTTTCACCGCAAAATTTGCAAATATGTGTTGACAGTGTTTTGGCTGTTTTCTCTTTTTTCCCTCTTGTCGTATTGAAAGCAAAACTTGCTCTCACTGATGCCAAGTAAACAAAACTTTCATTGCAACTTGCTTTCACAGATACATTTCAGCCTTTAGAAATCCCATAAAATGGAAAAACCTAATTTTCCTCATGTTCTTGAAATGAAAGAGTTTGATGTTATGTAAATATTGTCAAAGTTTTAAAGTGAACCATTCACTCCCGAGTTCACACAGTCCAAATATGAAAACTAAGCTGTAAAAATGGCCTATTCATTGTTTTTGTGATGTCACAAAAAACAACATATTTACATATATCCACCTATTCAGGTTAGCTCCGCCCATTCACACTGAAGTTATAAGGAGTGTTTCAGCTCTGAGCGCTTTTTGAATGAGGCATAAAACAGGGCAGCCAGTTAGAACAGAGCTATTTATATATATATAAATATATATGTGTATATATATATTGCATATATACTATATATATATAAATATATGTGTGTATATATATATACACACGTGTGTGTGTGTGTGTGTGTGTGTGTATGTATGTATGTATGTATGTATGTATGTGTACATATATATATATATATACATATATACACACGCACGCACACAAAATGTTTTTGTGCTGCCCCTACAAATAATGGTAGTGTAAATAAAGCCACTGCAAGCAGGGCTTTTCCCTGTGTTTGTGTTTATGACAGATATGAATGAAGCCTGGTAGCTTCAGATATGCATCATTCTTCAAAGCACTCTGCAGTGTGGAGTAAAAGCTAAGGGGGTCGGCTGCCGCTGATTTTCTTGTCAGGATGTGTCTCGTCCTCGTTCACTCAGAGCTGCTGAACGCCTTCATATTCCTCCGTCATCTCCAACAGCCGATCAGTGACATTGATAAAGATGGCCTGCCGTTAACAGATTACAGACAGGAGCATTCGCATACAGAACTCTCCATTTTTATATCTCTCACACACAAAATATACTTTTCTTTTCTTTTTTTACTTTAAATTCTTCTCTCCTCCTCTCTTTCCTGTCCAGAAAATTCAGCGACTGTTGAGTAAAAGTAAATAAGATGTGCATTTAAAGAAATAGAGAGAGCCCCTTTCCTCGGGCACTGAAAGGGAGAAATAATAGGAGTTAGATAAGAAGGAGTTGTGCTGGAGATGAAGGCCAAAATGAGAATAAAGCCGCTACTCTGACCTTGTTGATCGCGGAGAGATGGATGAATGCACTGGTGATGGGATGAAAAGAGAACGGCCTGACAGAGAGAGAGGAGCGAGCAAATAGGGTGAGCAGGAGCAACTGGACAAAACACATCAGTGTAGGAATGAGTTCTAAGTAAGGAGCAGAGAGAGAATTAAATTCTATCTCTCTCTCTCTCTCTCTCTCTATATATATATAGTTGTTATGGTAACAGCGTCTTATATCTTCTAAATGATACATTTACAGCAGAAAAATTGCTGTAAATGTATGCCCTTAATTTGTTCTTACAATATCTGGTCATTAAGCATTTATTTGTCAGAACATAACTAGAATACATACAAATAACATTAATATAATAAGTTTAAATTAATTTTGCCAAGCTTAACGTACTGGAGATTGAAACATAAAATATGACATGCGCTGTGACTTTTGCTCAGATCACATTTCATGTTTAATTTCTTCCAATGTGTTACATTCAGCAACTAAACAGTAATTATCTCTTAACATGTGTATTCTTTGTTAGCGTTAACTTATTTTCACAAAAATCAACAAAAGTTGGCCGAAGGTGTTCAAACTTTTGCATACAATTTTGTGTGTGTGTGTGTGTGTGTGTGTGTGTATATGTCATATGTTATGCTGTCAATGACACATGATAAAAAATGATGGGATGATAATAGATGAGAACATTTTTGGTACATAAACAGTACATGCTTTCCATTAAGCATTTTAAAATGGCTAAAGGCACTAGATGTAGGTGTTTTAAGCTGTTTTGTTTTATTAATATGGGGAGATGGTCACCAAATTGTGCTTACAGTCCAATTCATGTAGCTATTTTGAGGCGCTGTAAGGGTCTTAAAAAAAAAGCATGAACCCTAACATACATGTGTGGATTTTTATCACTCAGTACAAATTGATTCAAATTAACTGGACCACATGCACTTATGCATACCCATATATCCACATACTACACTCTACTGCATCTTTGAGGTTAGATTTTTTATTTCATAATACATATAGGAGCTGATAATTACATCATATTTTTGTTCAATTTCAGGACTGTAAACAGTCTGTGGACCAAACAGTTTCACTTAAGCATTTTAAAATAGATAATGGCTCTAGATGTAGGCGTTTCTAGCTGTTTTTGTTGTATAATATGTTTAGATTGTACCCAAATTGCAGTTACCTGTCATTTCTAGTGACTATTTAGGGCTCCAAATACGGGTCTAAAAATAAATACACATTCACATCGGTGCTTATGGCTTTTCCTCACTTTTAGTACAATTGTTCCAAATTATCTAAGGCCAGATTTCACTTTGAAATCCAGTTCTTTCAGAATATTCAGACTGTTTGACAGTACTGAAGCTTTCATCTCTCATAGCATGGTGCATTCAGTCTGACAGCATGCTGTTTTTCTGTCCTTTGAAATGAAGTTTTGCCAGCTTCAGCTTGTTCAGTTGGCCCCAAAACCAGTCATGTGTAATCTGTATCATCTATACTTTTGGTGTTAGCACTGTTGATACATAACAGAAACTTAGTCACCTGCACTGTATGTCATTTACTGGGCGCATCAGATTGTTTTAAAAGAAGTTTAAAAACTAAATAAAGAGAAATCTTCCTCTCTGGTATGTGGAAGGTATGTGGTTAACATTACAGCACTGTGTAAGATTCCCTTTGGTGTAATTTTAAGCAGATCAGAACAAAGCAAGCACTATCAGGTGTGTAAGACATTCTTTAAGCACTGAGCAGCAACCAGGAATAACAGGTTTATTAACTTTATTAATGCTAACTTATCATCCAATACCATAATACTATTTTAAGTGAAAGTACATTTATCTGGTGGGGACAGTTTTGGTGGTCTACCGGATCACGGTCACTTGCACATGTTTTAGGAGTCACATTTTCTCGTTAGCTTTTAACCATTTTTTTGCACTGTTTTTTCGTGTATTTTCATTCGACTTTCTCCTTCCTTATGCAAGTGGATTATAATTCCTCAGAAATATCTCTTGAAAAATGAATAACTTAATGGCTAGAAATGGACTGGAAAACAAATAAATGAGGGCGGTCTTGCACGGTACTGTATATTTGGAAAATATTGTGTACTAAGTAATTATATTAATACCATCCAGCACTACCCACTACAAATATTCTTGTTCTGCAGTGGACTGTGTTCAGTAAGACCCTACTGGAGTGTACAATGTGTGTATGTTTCTTTACGCCACCACCCCCTCCCAATCTCTCTCTCTTTCCAAGATTGAGAGCAGTCAGCATTAATCTCAGTGTGAAATCAACAAGATCATTTACATTTTAATTAAGCATGGATCAAACCTAATCAATCTCTATGTAAGGCAGAGGACATCACCACCTCAGGCTTCATCTGTGGAGAATATGTCAGTAATGCCTGTATACGTTTCCTTTCAGCCTGTTCACGATTGTCCTTCGTTGCTCAGCCAGATTTGAAACATTGATTAGATTTGGGAGAACAGCTGTTTCAGCTTAAAGCAATTTACCTCTTGAGCTTTTAGCACGATGATACAATCCTATAACAAGTCCAGTAAGCTGCTGTCATGGAATCAAGTATTGACTGCTGCTGAAGGCAAAAGTAGAGCTTGAAATATTAAATATTTGTCCAAACCCAGCAGGACCTGACTATTCCTGCCAGGTTTGGTTTGGTCAGGTTCGGACATTATTTCTCTAATATTTGTTGGGCTCAGGTCAGGGCTAAATTTCATCCTCAGGTTTCTCATAGTCCATCTCCCTCATGTAATGGATTTTGACCTGCATGCTTCAGTTTTCAGTTTGACCAGTGCTTCTCTTTTTCTCCCTATATTCTTCCTGCTCATTACTTTTTTCTCCTAATAGTTTTTAATCTAGTGACCTAGAGTTGGTGTTGTGTTGTTGGCATCGAGGTCCACAAGGCCATGAAAATTATGTACTTTTAAGATTTTTTAACAGGCACTGATAAACTTATTTCTTAAAGTGGATTTAAACTTAACTGGACAGATGCTAATTAGGATATTCTTTTTTTCTGCATGTTGTTTAATAATGCCATGTTGTTTAATAAAGCCATGTTGTTTAATAAAGCCATCTGGTGATGGCTATTATTGTTGCCACAAGGTAATCTAACAAGCAATATCACTAGTAATGTGGATGTTTATTCTGTCTTTGTTAGGTTCTGGTTGAGTTTGGGGAAAAAAATAAGGTACGGTGGGTCTGAAACAGAAATTTGTTGAACTACAGTCAGAATGGGAAAGAATTATGTTGGGCTACAGTCTGTTTGGGATACTGTTTTGTCAAGCTAGAGTCTGTTTGGGACGCTATTTTGTCAGACTACAGTCAAGTTCAGACATCATTTTGTCAAATTACAGTCAAGGTCAGACAGAATTTTGTCAGCTACGGTTGAGTTCAGACAAACTTTTGTGAGGATACAGTTAGATTTAGAAAGAGTTTTGTCAGGCTGCAGTTGAATTCAGAGGGAATTTTGTTGGGTTAAGATCAGATTGGGACAGAATTTTGTTAGGCCACAGTCAAGTTCAGACAAAATTTTGTTAGGCCAGTCATATTGGGACAGAATCTTGCCAGGCTGCAGTCAGATTGGGATGAAATTGTGAAAAGTTCAGATTCTAAACTTGTCGAGTCGGACTTGAGTGTAATTTTGGCCGTACTTGAGTTTGGATCAAAATTTCAGTGCAGATTAAAGCTGCAGGCAGAGGTGAAGTCTCTTTAGGGTCCCCCTGTAAGGGAAATTAGAGTGTGGAATATGAGGCAGATGGTTTGATAGACATTTACATTCATGACTTCCAGCATGCATCAGTCAGCACTTTGACAGGGGTCAAAAATCCTTCCCGAATTGCACAATAAGGAGAACAGCTTTGTCAGCAGGTGAAGCCTGCTGCAATTTTTCTGCTCCCTCACTGTACTTTATCATCTGATGCCAGCTGCAGTCTATCTGCGAAACCTCACCCAGCCATTTTCACACATACTCACTGAACCCATCATTTACCTAAACTGGGTGTGACACCCTATCGCCTCAGAAGCACTTATCTTATCCCTCTTTTATGCTTGTCTTTTCTGCCTTTCTCTCTCTCTCTCTCTCTCTCTCTCTCTATCTATCTATCTATCTATCTATCTATCTATCCTGCTCTCTCACCACAGGGGCCGATGTGATTAACTTTGACGGCCAGGGGGTGATCTCGTACCGTTTCAAAATGAAGAAGATGAAGATCCTGAAGGACGTGATAGCTCTGAAGTTTAAGACGGCGGAGAGCGAGGGGGTGATCCTGCACGGTGAAGGCCAGCAGGGAGACTACATCACGCTAGAGCTGCATAGAGGCAGACTGCTGCTGCAGATAAACCTGGGTACGGACCTTCACTCATCACTGATCATCACAGACTACCCATCCGTCACAGAGAGCTGGATGTGTGGGGAGAGAGTTCAAACTAGTCAATGTGCATATGCACTCTTTTTACCCTTTAAACTTGAAGCTTATCATCTTTTAACCCAAATGTGGTCAGTTAGACATGTTTGGTTTTTGGACGTTCTATACTTCTAAGAAGTAATGGAAGCTTATTGCCCACCAAACAGCTTCATGTAAACTGCCTAAATATTCAAATTTCCCTCATATTGCATGAAGTTATCTGAAGTAGACTTGCTTATGTGGTTTCAGACACTAAGGCTATCTAAGAAAAGTATATATAAAGCTGTTTATCTTTGCAGTAAGCATTTATTTGTTCAGAAAGCACATTAAAATAAACAAAAATAAACAATGCATTGTGAATTCATATCTCTCTGTGTGTTAGCTTAACCTTTCAAGACAGACACAAAAAAAGCTATTTCTGCCATTGAGACTTATCTCCAAGTCTCAAAGGGCATAAAAATATTCTTCATTCTCAACTTTCAATGTAAGTCAATGCAACAAAATTGTATTTTTATGAGTATAAAATAAATTATTATAAATATTTTATTGTATACATGTGCTGGTACGAGTGGATCAGACACAGCAGTGCTGCTGGAGTTTTTAAACACCTCAGTGTCTCTGCTGGACTGAGAATAGTCCACCAACCAAAAACATCCAGCCAACAGCGTCCTGTGACCACTGATGAAGAACTAGAGGATGACCAACACAAACTGTGCAGAAACAGATGAGCTATTTTCTCTGACTTTACATCTACAAGGTAGGAATGTTTAATGTGTGGACAGTGAGTGTTTAAAAACTCCAGCTGCATTGCTATGTCTGATCCACTTGTACCAGCGGAACACACATTAACACACCACCACCATGTCAGTGTCACTGCAGTGCTGAGAATGATCCACCACCCAACAATACCTGCTTTGTGATGGTCCTGTAAGGGTTGATTAAATGGACAGTGAATGTAGATACAAGGAGGTGGTTTTAATGTTTTGGCTGATCTATGTATATATAGGCTTTAACATGTTCATTTGGGACATATTATTACATATAGGTGCTTACATATGAGACATATATGTAAATGGTGTTGAATTCTGTCCATGCTAACTCTGATTCATTCCTGGGTTTTTATTTAGGTATTGACCATATTTACTGCACACCATCTCACATCAATGTATCTTTTATTCTGTTATGTGGAAATTCAGTGACATTTAATCTGATATTGAGTTAAAGGAGGTCATGGGGAAGAGCAGCATTCGTCATGATCTGAGCACATAGTTGATACCTATAGATCTACACCATGTGCTTTTATGTGAAACTATACATCTCTCCTCACTGCAGAAACGAGCTCATGATTCTTTCATGATTCCAAAGCTGAGTCGTATAGGCTACCTGCAGCATAATCAGGCTTTATTGAAGAAAGCTCAATTCACTAAACCAAATGTTCTCAATTAGGCCTAATCAATATCATGAAAGCAGATACCACTTAGCCAAGCTGTGGGGAGTAACGCTGCAGCAGTGATTGAGCTGTTTGGACACTGAGCTACTATTGTGATACGATTAGTTAATTTTACTAAATTGGTGGAAATTAAACCTTTTAAAAAAATAACACTCACAATAGTTAGTTTATAAAGTTTGAAACGGTTTTGGAAATTGCTTTAACTGGTTCTTAATATGTGGCTTAAGTGAGTGACATAATGGACACTTGGCACCCAACATGCTTTGTGCACACATTCAGAACGCAATTCACATTAATGTGGAAATATATAATATTGATTGTCTAATCTGATTTTTTTTTTTTTTCTCAGAAACATAGTGTGTCTCAAAAGCCAAATAAAAAGCTACAAATTTCCAGCTTGTTTTAGATTTAGTTTAAAAGCAGAAATAGCTGCTTTTTTGTGTTGACCCTAAAATGTTATGGGAGATTCGAAACCACAGGGTCATAAAGAAAACAGCTATTTTATCTTTATTTGGACTCCAAAGTTTTCTTGCTTTAACCTTAGAAAAGTAGTCAAATTGTGGTCTCAGTCAACTTATGAACCTTTAGCATGTTTTTCCTCCTTATCTAAAGAGTCATTTCGAGTCATGTAGAGAATAGTGTATAGTGAATAGTCATGGCATAAGTATGGGGAGTAGGGCATACATACAGAGGGTATGAGTAGGTTATAGGTATAGGGGGTACAACATATGGACTAGGGCGTAGGCACAGAGAGTAGGGCATAAGAAGTAGGGGGTAGGGTGTAAAGCATATGGCATTGGGAGCATAAGCACTTCTGAATGGAGTGCACTTTAAAATTAGCTCGCTAACCAAAGTGTGATATGATATAATGCAGAATTGTTCTTATTTACCTATTTATTTATTTATTTATTTATTTTTATTATTTTTGTAAAATGCAGGCAGTAATCAGTACGGCTCCATCCTGGGCCACACGTCGGTGACCAGCGGCAGCCTGCTGGATGACCATCACTGGCACTCAGTAGTGATTGAGCGCTACAGACGAAATGTCAATTTCACCCTTGACCAGCACACTCAGCATTTCCGCACCAACGGCGAGTTTGACCACCTCGACCTGGACTATGAGGTACAAGCTGCACTCATCCGGCTGGACGCTCCACAGGACTAATAGCCTCATACGGGCACTAAATGTTTAATTTCATTTCATATTAAATTTTGCATTGGACACGGTACAAATTGGGGTCGTTTAATTATCGGAGAATAATAAAAAGGGAGCATGATTTTACACCAGAAACTGCATTCATGCAAGTACAAGTAGAATTTGGTTCACGGGTGCACTTTCGGTACATATATATGCTTCAATTTTCTAGTAACAGTAACATCTTATCAAGTTATCTACTGAGATTTAATTACCACTTCAGAAATTTGATGCATTCTAGATATTACTTCTTTTTTCTAACTTATTTTAGATTCGTAGTTCAGAGAAAAACTAGTAAGTTATTAGATTATTGAGCACATTTGGTCATGCATTTGATTTAGATCCAACACCCAGTATGACACAATGCTGTGAGCCATATACCAAGGTATTGACATCCAAAGAGGTTTTATTTTAGATATGAGTTAGAATTATTGTTTTATCACCATCACAGTTTTAAGTGTAGTTGTTTTTGTAGTTGTTTTTATTGATACTGTATTTATTTGGCTAGTTTTTATAATGGAAATCTACAGCTAGAACTCACCATAACAAACAAGTTTAAGGATCTAAACTCACTGGTTTTAGAGTCAACCTCATCAGAGCCCAGTGTTACTCAGACATCAGACTTCTTGTAGTTCTGTGGTATACCAGCCTCTCACAAGTGCTTTAAATTATCAGACGATTGGACATCTCAGCCTCATTGGTCTCATGTGAAACCATTCTATGTAAAGGCCTTTGCTGATACTGGCTCAAATGATTCTAGCCAACCCTATACAAATCTAAAGAAGAGGAGTAGATTAAAATTTAGAATTGTCTGCAGATTTTTATCTGGGCATCAAAGGGTTAAGAAGTCATAATGTCAGCCCTGTTTCTGTTCCGTTTTTTCATCTCTCCTCATTTTTCTGGTAGAAATGACAGTCTTTTTTAGCATGGTATTAATCCACATTAAGGCAGTGTAGCGGGGTGTTAATGTGATCATGCAGTAATAATGCATATTAATGTGCTGAGTGGTGGGATGTATAGAAAATTGATTTTCAGCTGCGAGGGGAAATATCTTGTGAAAGCCACAGATTTTAAATGCTTTCATTGTCTGCTGAACACAGCTCCAGCACTGTTAGCATTCATGAACAACAACTGAGTACAACTGGGACGGTTCAGGACAAATGTGCTCCAATTAAAGGGAAAGTGTCTAATTAACTGAGCAGAAAAGAGATCAATCTGGGATGCCGAATGGGTGAGCTCTGGGTTCTGCTGAAGTGGAAGCGGATAATGGCAGTGAATGTGTTTTGCTGACTAAACTAAGACTTTAACATCACCTTACTGAGCATCTTCCCAATTCAGTAAAATCTGAATGCTCATTAATATCACTGTTCAGGCAACTACTAATCAATGTGGTTTTAATTAGTCCCCTGTCTCACGTGTGTTCGACCCTGTATTGAAAAAAATTAGCATCACTTTATTAAAGCCATTCCAAGTGGACTGGGAATTGGTCACAGTCTGTGTGACAAATGAACCACACTTGTTTAACGCCTTAAACTCCAGTACTCACTTGCATTAAAAACATTTTAAATTAATTTCAGCCTTAGGTTTTCACTTTTACCTTAGTGAGCCATGTAAAGTGAAATAAACCTGTAGTTGTAAATGTACATTTCTGTTATATTTATTTTTTCCCCTTAAAATATTTGTGTGGTTTTATGTACCAAAAATGATCATAATTCATTTTGCATGACCATTTTCCAACCTCTCCTTATCCTATAGAATTAAATAGCCTGTTTTGTTACTGTGCCTTCAAGAGTGATATGCATATGCATGTTCTGATTGGCTGCCCTGTATTGTGCTCCATGCAGTTGACACACCCCTAATAATTTCAGTGTGAATGGGTGGGGCTAAACTGCTGTAGGTTGAATAGACAGATATATGTAAATTAATTAGTTCCCATGACATCACAGAAACAGTGAATTCAAAACAGGCTTTAGAGTTTCCAAACATGTACAAACATGAACATATATTAACTCATTTTCTTCTTCTTCAAAAAAGAGGGAAATTTGGTTGATATGGGCTCTTTAAAATGTATCCCTAACTTAAATACTTTCATGTAAGCAACCACAGGTCTATTATTCAAGTACAGGAAGCTTATACCCAACAAATTAACATTGTGCTAACTGCATGCCTAAGTCATCACACACTTGCCTCAAACTGTGTTGAGTTCTTAAATAATCTCAAATATACTTGTTTATGTGGTTTCTGACACTGTATGGCAGTAGCATATAGTGCTATAGGGGAATGAGCTGTTACAAATTATACATGGAGGGTCCTTACAGGTAGGGAAAACAAATAATTGAAAATAAATTAAAGCATAATTGCGTAATGACAATTAGTAATGATAGTAATTGTACTCACATAATTCTGTGTAAATCCATCAATTTGCTTCAAATCCATGTTGTACATGGGTATCTTCACTCTGTAACTGCTTACCATTTCACTCAAACACTCACAACTTGCAACTTACAAGGTTTGTTGTGATTGGCTAAGTGCTGGGGTTCCACTTTTCTGGCAGCGCTGCAGTAAAGCAGCAACAGCAGCACCTTCCCCAGGTTGCATCTTGCTATCCCAGTATATTGTGAATGAGACGTGTACATTTATTTGGGAACGGAACGCTAAATAAAATTAGCCTAGCAGTGTCTATGTTTTACTGGAAGATTTTCTGAAAGTTTTCTTTTTTCCCCATGCAGCTGACTTTTGGAGGAATGCCCTACTCCGGAAAACCCATCTCAGGAGGCCGGAGAAACTTCAAAGGCTGCATGGAAAGCATCAACTACAACGGGGATAACATCACTGACCTGGCCAGGAGAAAGAAACTGGACACGTCCAGCTTTGTGAGTTACATGTTGCTTTTACAAGGGGCCACGTGTTAGTGTGATTTGTGTGTAAGGGGTATAAAAATTGGAACATGATAAAATACACCATTGTTCAATTAATAATGCATTCTAAATTGCAAGAAACAGTTCTTACATAAAACAGTGCAGTTCATTAACGGTGTGTATGGTCACTAAGCAAGTTTAACAGTCAAAGATTATTACATGAGCTGTGAAAAAAAAATTAAGTTAATTATTTTTTAATAATTCTGTGCTGTTCATGTAATATTTTGTGACTTATGTTGCTTAGCAGCCATAGCCTACTCTTGATGACTTGCATTGCTTGGAGGCAATTGCTTACTGCTTTTATTATTATTACCAATAATGATAATTATAAAACTCTTTGTTAATGTAAATTATAAATATTTTGTTGTTTTCTAGAAGCAAAAAGGTACTCAGCACCTTATATTACACATGGTGTCTATCAGGGGTTTCACAACTTCTAATTTTTAATAGTCAAATAGTCATTCAGAAAAATAGTCAACTTGTGAGTGTTCTGGATGTCCAAAAAAAGAAAGTGTGTGAAAAGTTAAGTGAAAAGTTGTTTGTTAGTTGTTGCTAATAGGGGCTGGTTTTAGTGGTTAGTGCTGTGTTTTGAGGTGTGATGTGTCCTCTGTAGAAAAGGTTTTTATGTTGTTGTTGTACTGTATCTCAGTAAGTTTCAGGCTCAGACACTCAGTATACAGACGTGCACAGACTGTCTGATGTAAACTGCATGCTAAAATCACCACAAATTCCACAATCTCACCTCTCACAGAGAATTTAAACTGGCTCTGGCAATCTGTTCTTCCAAAATGGGCTTTATCAATCTGAAATGACTGTTTATCAAGCTAAAAGCTAGTAGCAGTAAGCCTTTCAAAGCAAGATATAGGCCTAGTGGCTGAACTGTGAAACATTCAGGATATCCAATTTTAAGAATTTATTCCAGAATTTAGTTTAAAGCCGTAGGTAGCAAGTAAATGAGATCCTTAGTGTTTGAAAACTGGTATTCCACAAATGCACATTTGTTTTCATTGCATACGTTGTGCTAAAGGGTCCGTGAATGGCCATTTTGCATATCAGTCAAGTGGTTTCCTATCAGACACAGTGGTTGTGGCTTACGAGCTTATATTTCAGTTTTACAGAGTTTGCAGTGGAATTTCGGCTGTAGTCTTCAACTAGTCAACTATTGTTCTCAGTGCCAACTGGACAATGCAACCTCAAGGAGTGTTGTTACACACTAAACTGTTTAATGGCCAGTCTACAGTGTCTTTATTTTTTTCTTACTGCTTTATTTTTAAACAGCTTTGAACGTGGCTCAGCCAATCAGATTTCAGAACTGCTACTAGCAGTTCAATAATAACTCCATTCCCACAGCTGCTTCATATGACAGCCTACTTATATATCATATACAGATTGCCGTTTAGAGCACTATTTACTCCTAAAGTGAAGTATGTCTCTTTCCCCTTGAGTTATTCGGTTGCACTTAGCTAGTCACACTCTGAAACACTGATATATGAGATCTAAATTAACTTGGCATTGATTTCCCCATGCTTTATCAACTTGTTTGGAGCAAAAGATTTTGACAAATCTATCAGGCACGCTTGTGTTGTTTAAAAGGGACATGAAAAAGCTCCATAAAACTTTTTAAATGAACAAAACCAGCAGTGTTTAAGTGACAGTGGCCTCTGCGCCTGTGTTAATTCCAGAAAAAAATCCATCTTGTGCTAATTTGACAAGCCTCTTTCAAAGACCGCTTGACTAATTATTCGTATTACATTCATATTCCGCAAAACGTGTTGATTGTAGTCAGCGCCGGTTCTAGCGTTTTTATGAAGTGCTCTGAAATGGCTGGATACACTTTTCCATTTTTGTTATGATGAGATTGATTAAGTTCTCTATATTTGAAATGGGGCTGAAGTGCATTTAAGGCCCCGAAATTACCATTTAGAAAGGCGAAGAGCTGGAGAGAGTCATGAATAAAAGCGCTCGACCTTGCCTCCCTCCGCTCTCTTCCCTTTTTTTCTGCCCCGAGGTTTAGAAATCTACGCTGTGGTTTGAACATGCTGTAGCTGCACTTTCAAAGAGCTATCTGTAAGCCCACGTTTCGCATGAGGGAACCCATAGCACCACTGAACTCACGCAACAGGGCCAATTCAGACATTGATTTGCGTGCTAGTCATTGCAAAACGTTCGGCCTTTGCCTGCTTTGTATTGAATCGCAGCACTGTGGTTTTAAATATGCACTGCAAACACTGCATCTGGGAATTACAACATAATATATCTTGATTAGGACTTGATGTCTGCAGAGGCTTTCTTGCATAAAGGATATTGGCTTACAGTAGGGTATAAAAGTAGCATAACATTAACCTTTTCTACTCTTGTAGATAAGTTGTATGCAAAAGTTTGGTCAAGTGACATGTTTTGTTGATTTTTTGTGAAAATGAGAACACATCCTCTACAGAGAACACACTTCTACACATTTTAATGCACAATTACTGTTTATTTGCTAAATTTAACATATTGGGGAAAAAAAATAAGCAAAAAATGTGACCTGCGCAAAAGATATGGCACATTTTATATGTTATGCTTAATTTTTGTCCAATATTTGTGCATGTTTTTTATGTCATTTTGTACATTTTATGATTATAATCACTTATAACTGTCTCTAATATTCCAGAACTGATGCAGTTCAATCACCACCTTCAGATCTCCCCTGGTAGTGAATATCTTCTTATTTTCTGCTTCACTTGTAGCGCAACCTGACGTTCTCCTGTGTGGATTCTCACACCTTCCCTGTCTTCTTCAACGCCACCAGCTTCCTGCAGCTTTCAGGCAGAAGAGAACACAACATGGTGTCTGTGGGCTTCCAGTTTCGAACGTGGAACCCAAACGGCCTTCTCCTCTTCAGCTCTCTGGCGGACGGCATGCTGGAAATCTCTCTGAACGACGGAAAAGTCACGGCACACATCAACGTCACCCAGCAGAAGAACTCGCGCGTCGACATTGCATCAGGTAGGCTGGGCCCAGTCCTGCTATTTCGTGCATGGATCATCAGGTTGCATCAACTTGTTTTTCTGTTTTTCTTAGGAAAACATAGCTTAAAGTCAAGCCAATCTCTTGTGGTTATCCAATACCAAAGCTGCATCACTGAATTTCTAATTTTTTTCATATTGTTCTGTACTTTTCTCTGTACTTTTGTATGGGATTGGCCAACTGAATGCCTAAATTCACTCATTTTAGCATCCAAAATACAGAACATCAGTACAGTAAAAAAAAAGATGCATTGAATTTACTTGATTCAAATGGACAAACTGAGAGACAAAATTTGCTCATTTTAGTGTCATATTTGTAAAGCAACAGTACACTTAACATGAATCAAATGTGTTTTAGTACTTTATTTATTTAATTTCCAGTCAAAACAGTCATTAGATACAAGTTATTAATTTTTTAGGAAATGTTTCTGAGGAGATTAGATATAAAATAGTCCACTTGCGTAAGGAAGGAGAAAGTCAAGGAAAATAAGTAGGGAAAAAAAAGATGTTTCCAAAACTGGAGTTCAAAAAATGATTAAAAGCTACAGAGAAAATGTGACTCCTAACAATCACCCACAAGACCTAGTAGACCACCAAAACTCTCCCCATCAGATAAACAGCACTTAAAGCTTTCATCTTCAAGAGAGATGATTGATTTAATAAAATAAACATTATTGTATTGTAAGGTCACTGAGACTAAAATTATTTTAGTCTGAAGTCTGAGTCAGTTAAAAGTCCAAATTGTGTTTTGAATTCTTTGAATTCTAACATAAATACAGTACTGTGCAGAAGTCAGACACCATCCTCCATTTGTTTCTATATAATTTACAATCAAAACAGTCATTAAGTACAAGTCATTCATTTTTCAGGAAATATTTCTTAGGAGATTACATGTAAGATAATCTGTTTGCATTAGGAAGGAGAAAGTAAAAGTTATAAATATATATCTATACAGAGAAAATGAAAAACGTGACTCCTGACTACCACTTGCAAGTCTTGGTAGACCACCAAAGCTGTCCTTATCAGATAAACAGCCGTTTCATCTTTGAGAGAGAGGAGAAAATCAAGCTCCACTCTGACTTCAGATCTGAAAAAATCAGGTGTTTCTGTCCATCCTTCCACTGTGAGAAGACAACTCAGCACTATGAGTCTGAAAGGATGCGTAGCTGTCAAGAAGCCCTTACTGAGAAAAGGAAATTAAACAAAGAAGCTGCTGGTATTGTCAGAACAATGGACTGACCACCTTAGAGTCCAGACTGCAGCATCACTGAATGGTTTTAAATCACTTGGATTGTGAGAGGAAAATACAACCAACTTCTAAGACTGAACTTTACAGGTATGAATAAACATCCCTGCAGCTTTTTTTGAAAAACTGAAAGTGAGTCTCCTGAAAAGAATGGAAACTGTAATAAAGGCAAAGAGTGGATACATTAAATACTAACAAATTCTGTAGTGTATTTTGTTGAGACTTTGAAATGTTTTGTGCTTTTTTACATTTCACTAAATAAAAGTCTCCAACTATTCTTCTCAAGAATAAAATATGTTACATCAACACAACTATTGCAAAATTTCCTTGGCTGAAAGATAAAACTTTGTGTAGTATATTAGTCATGTGGAAATGATGGACACATTTGATTCAAGTGTACTTTTGCTTTCAGAACTTGTAATTGTCCAGGAAAATGGAAAATTCACTCATTTTAGTATCGTAAATAGAAAGGAACAGTATGTACAGTGTGAATAATTTCTTTGCAATTAAAAATATCACCTTTTTTGTTGACTTCAAAGTGCCCTTTCCACTCAGAGTGAGAGTGTGAACTACAAGCCTTCCTCACACACTCGCCAAACTCCTGTGCTAATAGGTCATTACGAGTTAGGCTGCATACTGTTACATTGTTAACCTTGAGGCTAATTGGGCTCCAGCTTTTTGGAATCCTTTATCACGTTTAAGAAAAGAAAAGTGACTCCAAACTGATCCCCAGCATGGCGGAGGCAGGTAATGACTGGACAGAGCTCCATGCATAGTAATTTCTCAATTGAAGTCTATTCAACAATTGAAAAAGCCTCCTGTAGATGCACTGTATTCAATGCACACTACTGGAGAGCTCTACATTATATGACATGTCACCTGTATCTTATAAAGTATTTGCTTTTTTGATATAATCTTTGGAGTTTAGAGTTATTATTGTACAAACCTCACTTTTAATTTGAACAGTATGTGAAATGCTAATGAAAACAAAAAGAAGTGAATAGTAAATTTGATTTGACTTGTATAAACAGTACAGAAACATGATATTTTATGTTTTACCTTATGAACTTGATTTTTTTTTTCTGAATATATGCTCCTTTCAAATTTGATGCTTGCAGCATGTTCCAAAAAAGTTGGGACGGGAACTTGTTTACTACTGTGTTACAGTACCTTTTCCTTTAACAGCGCTTAATAAACATTTGGGCACTGAAAACATAAATTGATGCATTTTTGAAAGCAGAATTATTGGCCATTCTTCACTTACACAAGTCTTCAGCTGCACAACCATATGGGGCCTTTTTTGTCGTATTTTATGCTTTATAATGTGCCACGCTTTCAGTGGAAGACAGATCTGGACTGCAGGTAGGCTAGTCTAGCTCCTGCACTTTTTGATCATGCATGTTGAAATAAGCAGATGATGTCATCTTCAAGACAGCATATGTTGCTCCAAAATGTACATATATTTTTCAGCATCAATGGTTTTGTAGATGTGCAAATTAGCCATGTGATGGGCTCTAATACACCCCTATACCATCAGAAACCCTGGCTTTTGAACTTTACGCTGGTAACAAATCGGATCCTTTCTTCTTTAAGTTGAAGAATACAATGTTCATTAATTCCAGGCCACAGTACACATTTCCACTGTGCATCTGCCCTTTTCAGATGAGCTTGATCCCAGAGAAATCACCGGCATTTCTAGATGCTGTTGAAATATGGTTTCTGCTGTGCATAGTACACTGTTAATTTGCATTCTGTATTAAGGCTGTGTGCTGATATACATCAAAAAATTGTGTCAATTGTTAATACAGTGCTGTCTGAGGGGTGGTCATGGGCATTCTTTTGTGGTTTTCAGCCTTGCCCTTTACGCACTGAGATTCCTCTGGATTCACTGAATCTTTTGATGATTTTATGCGTTGTATGGGCTAAATACCAAAAATGCTTTCAATTGCTCATTGAGGAGTGTTGTTTTTAAACTGTTGAATTGTTTGCTAACCTCTTTAAGTGGTGAGCCTCAACCCATCCTTACTCATAAATGATTAGGCCTGGAGGCTCCTTATATACACAAGCATGATTGCATCAGCTATTTAACATGTTTTTGAAAATTTCACAAGGCTCTTGGTCATAAACTGCTCCTGTCCCAACTTTTTTGGAATGTGTTGCAAGCATCAGTTTTCTAAATGAGCATATATTTACAAGAAACAATGAAGTTGATAATAAACATGGAAAATAATACACATAAATATTTTGCTTACTGTTCACAAGTCAAAGTGGGTTCACAAATCTCTGCTTTCAGTTTTTATTATTTTATTTACATAATTACAAATCTATTTGTATACTTAGTAACAAAACAGAAATTTACAGTTGATTATCATCCTGTGTCACCAGGTTCAAGTCTGCCCTTACACATACACTTTCTGTTTGTTTTGATGTCAAACAGTGGCAAAAAACAGCAAGTTTGCTAAAATGGTGCCAAACCCTCTCAGTGGGAAGATAATAGTATCTTAAATAGCCAACCACATTCTTCTGTTTTCGTTCTGCTGCCACAGATATTCATCTTTCTGTCTTTCAGTGCAAAAATGCTCTGAACTGTGAACATGACTCAGTATAACAGCCTCTGAAGACTGTAAGTCATCTGCAGTATGCTAAAATTACAGTTAGTGTAAGTGCTCTGAATTTCTCATCATTTACTCCAGAGTACTGTAAGAGCTTTAGTCTTTTTTTAACCCTTAAAAGTCAAAGGTCATTCATGATGTTTTGCTGTTCTATTTGTATGTACTGATATGATTAGGTATTTAAACAGTGAGTTACACAGTTACAGTTACATTTGATTTGCATTTTCTATTGCCTTCCCACTTTTTCTGTTTGAATGTCAAGGAATGACAAAAACGTTGCAAAAAATGTGAAGGACTTTTTCTTTCCCTAATCAAGAATGTGCACACAACAAAAACCTTTCATCAAATTAAATTCATAGTAAAATGCCTCCTATTTACAAACACAGAGACTGAATGAATGTTTAGAATCTGCACTTTCCACACACTTTCTCCTCCTGCTTCAATGAGCGGTAATGCTCTAAGGCAGGGGTGTCCAATCTTATCCACAAAGGGCCAGCGTGGCTGCAGGTTTTCACTCCAAATAAGCTGAAGCACACCTGATTCCACTTTAATAAGCTGGTCTCAGTCTTCAAACTACTGATCAGGTGATCTCCTGCTTTGTTGGAATGAAAACCTGCATCCACACCAACCCCTTTGTGGGTAAGTTTGGACACCCCTGCTTTAACGTTTCCTTCTTAATAGTTTAGTACTGTTTATAAAGCAGTCTTATATAAAGCAAGGCTTAGAAATATGGTATATATGTATCTCTGTAATGTTTAAACAGGGTCTTCTCTAAATTAGCTATTAACTATTTGTTGACTAAAGAGTTAAATGTTAATTATTTGTAATCTAAGTTGCAAACACACTTGAAATTATGTTAATGAAGAAGGATGAACAGGGAATAATGATCTGAAACGTGTTAAATTAATTTTCCTAATAGTGTTTCATTGTATGTTGCTGTGAAGGCTTGGAGCTAATGTCCATGTTTCGGTTTATAGTATGTAAATATTTGTTAGCACTTATGAAGGCAGTGGTTATTAAGAATGAATAAGTTCCATCTTTCTTATGGTCTTGTAAATTCATTACTAAAAATCTTTTATACACAACTAGTTCTTCAGAAGCTATTTCCAGGTCATTTGGAAG